GGAAAGATTCCTGTATTGCATCCGATCAGCTGAATCGCAATAAACGCCTCGCTCGCTGGACTCCTTTCGCCTGGTGAGATTATTTGATTTTAATAACTTTTTGCGCTCTTGGATTGGCTTCCGGAAAAATCTCGCCAAGGTATCCAGGACCCTCTTTGGTGCGGTCCTTGGGCTCTCCCACCTGGGAGGCCCCCCAAAAGAGCTCGATATCAAAGGAGGGATTAAGAAAAAGCCTATTAAATGTCAAATTGTGTTATGATTTTACAAACTAAGCACCAAAACATCATGTTTTATGACAGATCAACAGAAAAAGCAATACATGGTAATATTTATTTATCATGTCAGGAACAAACCAAACAGTTGTAAACTTTGCAAATCATTGCAGAGTTTACATCCTTAATCTATTGTACATACATAAGCATTCTTCTGTGTTGGAAGTAGGTTTATTTATTTATTTATCATGCCAGGAGCAGACCAAACCGTTGCATTGCATTTTTTAACTAACAAACAACCAAACAAACTACAAAGTTTGCAAGCTTGGTAGTTGATTAAATGTCCTTGGACCAGTTCCTGGCCACTTGGAGTGCCTCTGGTGTTACTATAAGAAGGTCCTCCATTGTGCATGTGGCAGGGCTCAGTTTGCATTGCAGCAGGTGGTCTGTAGTTTGCTCTTCTCCGCACTCGCATGTCGTGGATTCCACTTTGTAGCCCCATTTCTTGAGGTTGGCTCTGGATCTCGTGGTACCAGAGCGCAGTCTGTTCAGCGCTTTCCAAGTCGCCCAGTTTTCTGTGTGCCTAGAGGGAGTCTCTCATTTGGTATCAGCCATTGATTGAGGTTCTGGGTTTGAGCCTGCTACTTTTGGAATCTCGCTTGCTGAGGTGTTCCAGTGAGTGTTTCTGTAGATCTTAGAAAACTATTTCTTGATTTAAGCCGTTGACGTGCTGGCTGATACCCAAACAGGGGATGAGCTGGAGATGTCACTGCCTTGGTCCTTTCACTATTGGTTGCTACTTCCCGGCGGATGTCAGGTGGTGCAATACCGGCTAAACAGTGTAATTTCTCCAGTGGTGTAGGGCGCAGACACCCCGTGATAATGCGGCATGTCTCATTAAGAGCCACATTCACTGTTTTAGTGTGGTGAGATGTGTTCCACACTGGGCATGCATACTCAGCAGCAGAGTAGCAAAACGCAAGGGCAGATGTCTTCATTGTGTCTGGTTGTGATCCCCAGGTTGTGCCAGTCAGCTTTTGTATGATATTGTTTCTAGCACTCATATTTTTGCTTGATATTCAGGCAGTGCTTCTCTGCGAGGAGGCTTCTCTCATGTACCCCATACATGGCAATGTTCTGTAATTACTGTATTTATGAATTTAGCACCAAAACATTGCAATGTTGATCCGAGTGAGAGGCAGAGTGTGTTGGATGACACAGAACGTTGGATGAGCAAGACTCTAATAATAATAATGATAATAATAATAATAATGTCTAAAGACCTTGGCCTGCACTTAAACACAATCGGCGCTGATAAAATTACCATAAGCCAGCTGCAGAAGGTCACCTTATTGGGATCTGCATGCATTATTTGACAATACATCACACAGTCCTAGACACTTGGGTAGTGTCCAATGTGTGATCCAAGACAACAGCCAGCAGAGTGTCTGCTGTGGACTCATCTTGTTGTGTTAATAATAATAATAATAATAATAATAATAATAATAATAATAATAATATCTTTATTTTTATACCCCATCTCCATCTCCCCAAAGGGACTCGGGGCAGCTTACATGGAGATGAGCCCAAAACAAACATTGTTGCGGAAGATTCGTTACCCGAGATCAGATGAGCACAATCAGGAAGGAAGAGAAAGGAGACAGCAACTGATTCCAGGCCTTTAATTCTATCAAGCTTGACAGGGTGTTCAGAAAACAATATCTGACACACATTGGAAGTCCGATTTGCTCCAGCATTTATAGCATAAATTCTCAGGTTTACACATGCGCACATGGGTCTTGACATTTACACAATCTAATCAATATCAATTTGTCCTCGAGGAACCGAGGCCAAGAACAATTGTTGGCAAGATACTATAATTTCCACTGCTCCCCTTTCATCAGCTGACCAGCCACTTTCCCAGGTGACTTACGTAATCTTTAGAATGAATCATAACTTCATATATTTCTCTTTATACATATGTCTTCATATATGTATCTTTGATTTATTCGAAGCATGCATTTCCCTTATTAATTCTCCTGTAATTACTTTCACAATACATTATTTTCCTCAGTTGATCATTTAAAAAGGGGTATGAAATTACCTGCTATTTTCATCAACCAGACAGGAGGTGGCGCTACTACTACATGACCTTTAGATGTTAGTTTTCGAATCAATAATATCGATTTAACTCATGAGCCAAGTTTCCTACCTCAGCCTTCAGCCTTTAGCCTTGGCTCCTTCAAATATTGACTTAAGATAGAGCCAGCCTAAAAGTTTTCTAAGTCATCTGTTAAATTTCTCTTCTACCAAAATCTCTACTTCCCACCCTCAAGAACGGACAGGTAAGCCTTACTACTCATTATTTTCATTTTAAATTATAATTATTTTATTTTTCTCCTTATGGCCACCACAACATGGTTACAAAATACACACTAGAATATAAAAGGCAACAACATAAAACAGAATAAAACAACAACATTGTATAACAACAATGAACCTGCAATGATAAACAATTCCTGGGCATGGATGGGCAGACTGGTACACTCAATTGTAAGGATAGGACTGGTGGGTAAAGTGTGTAAGTCAAATGTTGTTGTTTTTTTCTCGTGTCGCTTCTGGTGTGAGAGAATTGGCCATCTGCCAGGACGTTGCCCAGGGGACACCTGGATGTTTTTATGTTTTACCATCCTTGTTGGAGGCTTCTCTCATGTCCCCACATGGGGAGATGGAGCTGACAGAGGGAGCTCATCCACGCTCTCCCCAGATTCAAACCTGCGACCTGTCGGTCTTCAATCTTGCCAGCACAACCCACTGTGCCACCAGGGACTCCAGTGGTCAAAGGGATAACGGGCAGCATAAGATGAAACATTATGACTGGATGTACTCTATGAGCTCTTCTCTCTGGTCTTCCTCATTAATCCTTTAATTTCTCTGTATCTCCATCAGCTCAACACTCTTGCAACAGCAACTCACCACAACAACACTTCACTAACACCTCTCTTGACAGAGAAGCTTGGGCCTCTTTATTACTCTTTCAACTTACCCCACCCTGCCTGTAAATTACTCAATGCTAGCCAGATGAATAAGTCCTTAATGTTTCTTGCTGATCCTTATAACAGAATCATAGAATCCTAGAGTTGGAAGAGACCTCGTGGGCCATTGAATCCAACCCTCTGCCAAGAATCAGGGAAATCACATTCAAAACACCCCTGACAGATGGCCATCCAGCCTCTGTTCAAAAGCTTCCAAAGGAGCCTCCAACATACTCTGGGGCAGAGAGTTTCACTGCTGAACAGCTCTCAGTCTCCAGGACACAGTCTCCAGGACAACAGAAAGCAAGCTTGCTCCCTCCTCCCTATGACTTCCCCTCACATATTTATGCATGGTCCTTATCATGTCTCCTTTCAGCCTTTTCTTCTGCAGGTAAACATGCCCAACTCTTTATGATTATTTATTGTCCCTTTCGAAATGATGGAATCTTACAAAACTGACAATAATACAGTTTGAAACTGCTTTGTAAGGTCAGTGTAGACAAGTGTTTTTCCCAACCTGTGGTCCGTGGACCTCCAGTGGTTCACAAGAACTAAAATATGGTCTGCAGCCTCACCGTTACAACGCCGTTGCAACAAGAGCAACTGGTCTCACAAATAATATGCCGAGGGTTATTACATATGGTTTTCGTGGGGAAGCAGAGGATGACTACTGGGGGGCACATGTTATGTATCAGAAACTAGAGCTGATGTGGTCTATCCAATGCAATTTTCTGAATCAGCAGCCCAAATAACCAAACCAAATCTAAAGTTGACCAAAACCGATTCATAACACTTTTGGTAGTAATGTTGGAGAGTGGTCCCTGGTCAAAGTGGTCCCTGGTTAACTGGTCCCTGGTCAAAAAAAGGTTGGGAACCACTGGTGTAGTCTCATATAATGCATGTCAATGCAGTTAATCTGCATTATATGAGTCAGCATTGACCATATAATGCAGTTTCAGACTGGTTTATATGGCAGCATAGATGCCAACTCCCAAATGTCAAGGTCTATTTCCCCCAAACTCCATCTGTGTTCCTATTTGGGCATATGGAGTATTCATGCCGGGTTGATCTAGATCCTTCATTGTTTGAGTTCACAGTGGTCTCTCGGTGTAGGTGAACTACAACTCCAAAACTCAAGATCAATGCCTACCAAATGCTTCCAATATTTTCTGTTGGTCACAGGAGTTCTGGGTGTCAAGTTTGGTTCAATTTCATCATTGGTGGAGTTCAGAATGCTCTTTGATTGTAGGTGAACTATTAATCCCAGCAACTACAATTCCCAAATGACAAAATCAATCCCCACTAACCCCACCAGTGTTCAAATTTGGGAGTATTGGGTACTTGTGCCAAATTTAGGCCAGTGAATGAAAATACATCCTTCATAGCAGACATTTGAATTCATAACAGTAGCAAAATTACAGTTGCAAAGTAGCAATGAAAATAATTTTATGGTACGGGGTCACCACAACATGAAGAACTGTATTAAGGAGTCGCAGCATTAGGAAGGTTGAGAATCACTGCGCTAAACAGTCATGAGTCCCAAACTGAGAAAAGGATGAGATATTACAAAAGGAAAAATATTCAGGTCTTCCTTTCTGTTCATTATCCTGCAGCTCCGTTCATTTCATTACTGCACTGGACTGCACTGCAATGCAATACAATTGAAGATGACAAGCTTGCTCTTGAGAACTGTGTAGAAGTTTGCAAGAATCGCATTCTGACACAAAAACATGTTTTTTTTCCTCTCTTTCAGCCCAGGTACTACAGTCACAAACAAAAATGGAGAAGTCATACCCAAAGGTAACTGAACCCCGGGGGAGACTGGAGAATGGAGAAAGAGAAGCTGACATCGTCCAGGCTGGGCCCATGAAGGACTTCCTAAAAAGAGATGTCCCACTACAGGTCAAGAAGGAGACAGTGGAGCAGCGCTGGGAAACCCAACTGCAGGAGTTTCTGAAGACCATGGATCCCCCTCATTCAGGAGGGAGGCCACCACAATTCCTTGAGCCCATGTTTGAAGAGGACACAAAGGAATCCCAAGCCTCCATCAAGGAAATAACCAACCAGTGGCCTAGAAGAGAGTGGGCACCTAGGCCACCCTCGTGGGCTTCGGAAGATCTTCTCAGGGGAGCCAGTCAACCCAACGGAGGCCTGGATTCTTCCATGAATATGGAGAAGCTCCCAAGTGAGGATGCTGTTAGTTCAGAGGTTCGACGCCAACGCTTTCGGCTCTTCTGCTATGAGGCAGCCAAGGGACCCCGCGAGGTGTGCAAGCAGCTCTGGAAACTTTGTCACCAGTGGCTGAAGCCTGAGAGCTGCTCCACGGACCAGTTCCTGGATGTCTTGATCATGGAGCAGTTTCTGTCCGTGCTGCCCTCGGAAATGCAGAGCTGGGTTATGGAGGGGAGTCCTGAGAACTGCAGTCAGGCAGTGGACATGGCTGAGGACTTCCTCCAGAGGCTGAAGGAGCCAGAAAAATGGGCAAAAGAGGTGAGCATTTGTGGTAATGGCAGGCATGAAAGGGATCCAAGAATATGTCAGGCCTTGTGCCCCACTGTATATACATCAACACATGTGACCACTTCTATGGCCCATCGATCATTGCAAAGTTTACATCCTTGATTTATTGTACATCAGCATTCTTCTGTGTTGGAAGTAGGTTTATTTTTTTATTTATCATGTCAGGAGCAGACCAAACAGTTGCACTGCATTTTTTAACAAACAAACAAACAAAACACAAAGTTTGCAAGTTTGGTAGTTGATTAAATGTCCTTTGACCAGTATCTGGCCACTTGGAGTTCTGGTGTTGCCGCAAGAAGGTCCTCCATTGTGCATGTGGCAGGGCTCAGGGTTGCATTGCAGCAGGTGGTCAGTGGTTTGCTCTTCTCCACACTCGAATGTCGTGGATTCCACTTTGTAGCCCCATTTCTTAAGGTTGGCTCTGCATCTCGTGGTGCCAGAGCGCAGTCTGTTCAGCGCCTTCCAAGTCGCCCAGTTTTCTGTGTGCCCAGGGGGAGTCTCTCATTTGGTATCAGCCATTTGAGTGACTCCCAGGTATTTGGGTGCGCTGCAATGCTCCAGTGGGATTCCTTCCCAGGTAATCCTCAGAGCTCGGGATGCTTGTCTGTTCTTAAGGTGAAAGGCACATGTCTGTGTTTTAGATGGATTAGGGATCAGCTGGTTTTCCCTGTAATAGGCAGTAAGAGCACCTAGAGCTTCGGAGAGCTTCTGTTCAACCATCTCAAAGCTCCCTGCTTGAGCGGTAATGGCACGATCATCAGCATAGATGAAACTCTCTGTCCCTTCTGGCAGTGGCTGGTCATTTGTGTAAATGTTGAACATTGATGGAGCAAGCACACTCCCCTGAGGCAGGCCGTTCTTCTGTTTCCGCCATCTGCTTCTCTGGCCCTGGAACTCAACAAAAAAGCTCCTGTTTTGTAGCAGGTTTCCTATGAGGCGGGTGAGGTGGTAGTCCTTTGTGATATTATACCTTTTTCTCAGGAGGAGGCGGTGGTTTACAGTTTCATAAGCTGCTGACAAGTCTATGAAGACAGCTCCTGTGATCTGCTGCCTTTCAAAGTCATCTTCTATGTGTTGGAAGTAGGTGTGAATGTTTCAATTGGCCACCTTGGTTAGAATTTGTTGGCCTGACAGTTTTCAGTTGTGCCCTGTTACTACCTGGGGGAATTCTTTGTTGAGAGGTGATTAGCTGTTCCTGATTGTTTCTTCTCTGGAGTTTCCCTGTGTTAAGAGTTTTGTTTTTTATTTACTGTTATAATTTTAGAGGTTTTTTTTAATACTGGTAGCCGGATTTTGTTCATTTTCATGGGCCCATGAAGAACTTCCTGAAAAGAGATGTCCCACTACAGGTCAAGAAGGAGACAGAGGAGCAACGCTGGGAAACCCAATTGCAGGAGTTCCTGAAGACCATGGATCCCCCTCATTCAGGAGGGAGGCCACCGCAATTCCTTGAGGACACAAAGGAATCCCAAACCTCTATCAGGGAAATAGCCAACCTGTGGCCTAGAAGAGAGTGGGCACCTAGGCCACCCTCTTGGGCTTCAGAAGATCTTCTCAAGGGAGTCAATCAACCCAACAGATGTCTGGATTCTTCCATTAATATGGAGAAGCTCCTGAATGAGGATGCTGTTAGTTCAGAGGTTCGACACCAACGCTTTCGGCTCTTCTGCTATGAGGCAGCCAAAGGGCCTCGTGAGGTGTGCAAGCAGCTCTGGAAACTTTGTCACCAGTGGCTGAAGCCCGAGAGGTGCTCCAAGGACCAGATCCTAGAAGTCTTGATCCTTGAGCAGTTCCTGACCGTTCTGCCTTCAGAAATGCAGAGCTGGGTTATGGAGCGGATTCCTGAGAACTGCAGTCAGGCGGTGGACATGGCTGAGGAGTTCCTCCAGAGACTGGAGGAGCCGGAAAAATGGGCAAAAGAGGTGAGCATTTGTGGTAATGGCAGGCATGAAAGGGATCCAAGAATATGTCAGGCCTTGTGCCCCACTGTATATACATCAACACATGTGACCACTTCTATGGCCCATCGATCATTGCAAAGTTTACATCCTTGATTTATTGTACATCAGCATTCTTCTGTGTTGGAAGTAGGTTTATTTTTTTATTTATCATGTCAGGAGCAGACCAAACAGTTGCACTGCATTTTTTAACAAACAAACAAACAAACAAAACACAAAGTTTGCAAGTTTGGTAGTTGATTAAATGTCCTTTGACCAGTATCTGGCCACTTGGAGTGCCTCTGGTGTTGCCGCAAGAAGGTCCTCCATTGTGCATGTGGCAGGGCTCAGGTTGCATTGCAGCAGGTGGTCAGTGGTTTGCTCTTCTCCACACTCGCATGTCGTGGATTCCACTTTGTAGGCCCCATTTCTTAAGGTTGGCTCTGCATCTCGTGGTACCAGAGCGCAGTCTGTTCAAGCCTTGTGCCCCCCTGTATATCCATCAGTGGGGAGCATGTGACCACTTTTATGACCCCTGAAGCCATACATCAACCTAGAAACTAATTCCTGCAAAGTTTCTTTCCATCCTTAATCTATTGTACACTGTTGATCCCATTAACTCCTGCTCAATCCTTTAAGCAAATATTTCAATGTAATTTTGGGGCAACGTTCATCATTTACAGTGAAGTTTGGGAATGCTTAGGAGCTTCACAGAAGTTCCAGAGCATTCTCCAGTTTTTCCTAATGTATGGTGTAACCACAATAACCAATTGTCCCCTGTGGTAGGGGTGAGAAGACAGCATGCATTGTGTGGATGTCCAATAGTGACTTCTTGCCAACCTCAGAGTTTGGGGCCCATGTAGAATGGTACCTAGTTTCCAGAGGAATTATTTGTTGAAAATAGCCACCTCCCAAGCCTTTCACTGTTTATATCTTGAATACTAACCTGTATTCTATGTATATGTTGATTTGCCAGTTTGACATACCTCTTTGGTGTGGAAGGGGTTATAGACATGTGATTGTACTGAGCGTGTTCAGACTCAGGACTCCCATTTTGTATTCAGTCTGCTTACCACCTCATTGGAGGTGGGTATGTTTGCATCAGACCTCAGTGGAGGTGGATGCATGTACAGTAGAATCTCACTTATCCAATGAGAACTTTAGTTTTGTAAGTACTTTAGAACCATTTAGAACCATGCATTGCCCAGGCCTAGTGGTTTAAGTGCACAATTTTAATTCACCATCGAATCTAATGCTCACCCCACTTTTGGCAAGGTAATTCAGCCAAAAAGGGTGAGCATTAGACTCGAATAAATATGGTATTTTTCTCCCAAGGTGAGGGAATGTATTACAATAGTAATTCTTCCTTGCTTGTGAGGATGAACCATTGAAGAATTTACCTCCCTACAAAAGATTTTTATCATAATGTAGTTAAACTTGGCATAGCATTAAAAACATGTTATATTACTTTTTAAAAAAAGAAAATGGCAAAAAATGGTTTGTTTTTGTTACAAACCTTGAAGTTATTTCTAACTTATGGTGACCCTAAAGCAGCATTTCTCAACCTGGGGGTCGGGACCTCTGGGGAGAGAGGTCGCCAAACACCATCAGAAAAATCACAGTATTTTCTATTGGTCATGGGGGTTCTGTGTGAGAAGTTTGGCCCAATTCTATCATGGGTGGGGTTCAGAATGCTCTTTGATTCTAGGTGAATGGGAAATCCCAGCAACTACAACTCCCAAATGCTGAGGTCTATTTTCTCCAAACTCTGCCAGAGTTCCCATTTGGGCATATTCTGTATTCGTGCCAAGTTTGGTCCAGGGTCCATCATTGTTTGAGTCCACAGTGCTCTCTGGACATAGGTGAACTACAACTCCAAAACTCAAGGCCAATGCCCACCAAATCTTTCAAGTAATTTCTGTTAGTCGTGGAAGTTCCGTCTGGTTCATTTCCATTGTTGGTGAAGTTCAGAATGCTCTTTGATTGTGGGTGAACTATAAATCCCAGAAACAACAACTTCCAAATGACAAAATCAATCCTCCCCTCAACCCCACCAGTATTCAAATTTGGGCGTATCGGGTATTTGTGCCAACTATGGTCCAGTGAATGAAAATCCATCCTACATATCAGATATTTACATGACGATTCATAACAGTAGCAAAATTACAGTTGTGAAGTAGCAACAAAAATAATTTTATGGTTGGGGGTCACCACAACATGAGGAACTGTATTAAGGAGTCATGGCATTAGGAAGGTTGAAAAACACTGCCCTAAAATAAACTTACAGTTTTCCTAAGGTATTCTTAGCAAGATTTGCTCAGAGGGGAGTTGCCTATTCCCTCGATGCTTCTCACTCAGATCTCACTCTGATAACATTCTTCTATAATGCATAGCTGCTCTTTTTCCTTTTCTTTTCACAGGAGCCAGAGATGGTGCTAGAGTCTTTTGTCAGCATCACAAAGTCAGAACAGGAGCCACTTGATCCCATTCAGACACAACTCCCTGTGGAAGCAAAGCAAGAGGGTGATGATGAGTCCAATTTCTTGGGTAAGTACTTACCCATCTTTTTTAAAAAAAAATTCTGACAGGTGTCTTCTCTCTCAGCTGCTTTATTATTTATTTAGAACATTTGTATCCCGTCCTATTCTCGACCTCCGAAGAGGGACTCCAACAATATGAAAACACCAAAAAATACACAATTACATAAAAGGACAATAAATATACGTTTAAAAACAGTTTGGCCAGATGTAAAACGTCCTCCAAATCAGTCCAAAAGATGCGGTCCATACAATTTCATGCTTTATGATGCATGCCATGTATGTACCCACTATTTTGTATATAAAAATAGAAGCAAAAGCTGCACTTGCTAATTTTCAACTATAGAAGGCCACATTAACCATCTAGAGCAGTGGTTCCCAACCTTCCAAATGCCGCAACCACTTAATACAGTTCCACATGTTATGATGACCCCCAACCATAACATTATTTTCGTTGCTACTTCACAACTGTAATTTCGCTACTGTTATGAATTGTAATGTAAATATCTGATATGCAGGATGTATATTCTTTTACTGGACCACATTTGGCACAAATACCCAATACTCCCAAATTTGAATACTGGTGGGGTTGGGGGATCGGGGGTTGATTTTGATTTTGTCATTTGGGAATTATAGTTGCTGGGATTTATAGTCAACCTACAATCAAAGAGCATTGTGAACTCCACCAACGATGGAATTGAACCAAATTCGGCACACAGAACTCCCATGACCAAGAGAAAATACTGGAAGGGTTAAGTGGGAATTGACCTTGAGTTTTGGAGTTGTAGTTCACCTACATCCAGAAAGCACTGCGGACGCAAACAATGATGGATCTTGACCAAACTTGGAATGAATACTCAATATGCCGAAATGTGAACACTGGTGGAGTTTGGGAAAAATAGACCTTGACATTTAGGAGTTGTAGTTGCTGGGATTTATAGTTCACCTATAATCAAAGAGCATTTTGAACCCCATTGACGATAGAATTGAGCCAAACTTCCCACACGGAACCCCCATGACCAACAGAAAATACTGTATTTTTCTATGGTCTTTGGTGACCCCTCTGATACCCCCCTCGCAACCCCCCCCCCGGGATCCTGATTCCCAGGTTGAGAAACACTGACCTAGAGGGCCTTAGAACACTGCTTCTTAAAGTGTTGGTCCTGGCCCCCAATGGGGTCCCCTTAACTCAATATAGGGGTCACAAAAAAATTAGCAACAGTAAAAAGTTTCTGACCGCCATCCATTTACACAAATCTGTTAGTAACAACATGCGGTGTTTACAGGGGACTCTGCAGAAAATGCTTCAGCTGTACATCATAAAAAACGGAAAATCTGTATGTTTAGCAAGTTATTATCAGTAACTGTTTGGGTTTTTTAAAATATCTATTTTATATACCTATATATACCTATATACCTGAGGTAATGTAAAAATTTATCATGTGGGAAGGGATTCCCCCCCTCTAAAAATGCAGGAGATAATAATAAATAAAAAATAAATAAAACTTTATTTATACCTCGCCACCTTCTCCCCAAGGGACTCGGAGCGGCTTACATGAGGCCAAGCCCCACATTGATAAAGCAACAAGCAATAAGCAAAATAAACAATACAATTAGTATAACTCAGACATGGACAATAACACAGAAGAATTTAAAAACCTATGGCTGAGAATGTGACAGAAAATTTTGCCATGCTAACTAGAAGGTATTTGAGGAGGAACTCTTTTTTGATTTCTCCGTCAATTCGTTTTAAGCCTAGGAAGGAAAAAAACAAAACAACTGTAACCCTTAGATTGCACTTCGTCCACCCCTGAGATATAAGTTTATTATGTCACCAGAGCTGTCTGACAAAGAAGAGTAAATATCTCGCCAACTACAGATCCCAAAATCCCATTGTATGGAGCCATGGCAATTAAAGCGGTATCAGACTGCTATAATTCTGCAGTATAGATCAAGCTTTGGTGACATCTACACTGCAGAATTAATGCAGTTGACTTGCTGGGCCTCCCGAAGTGTAGGCAGCGCCATTCTGCCACCATAGCCACTTCCTCCTTCCTGCTCCCACAACCAACCTTGGCTTGTGTCCGACCCCCACTTGCCAGGAAGGGAGCACTGAAGGCCTTGGATGGTGCCTTCCTTGGAGCCCCTTCCCAGAGATGGAGGAGGGAGGGAGGTTGGGAGGGCGGATGGATGGATGGACGGACGGACGGATAGGCGGGAGGGGAGCCTTCCTCACCCATCCACCTCTTCCCAGCAAGTAGGAGGAGGAGGAGGAAGAAAGTGAGGAGGACTCAGTGTGGTGCCCAGTTTCCTTCATGGTGCAAAGGAGATCACTGGCCCTTTTGGTAGCACACATGACAATCCTCGCTAGGTCCCTGGTAGTGATTCACACAGACCTTACCAAACAAACAGTCAGAAAGAATATAGTAGAATACATAGATTACTAATTAACTACTTACGATCTTTTTGGGATTTTCAGGGGAGCCCAGTTTGTTCTGTCTTTTTTTCGGGGGGGGGGGGGGGTTCAAGTTTGGTTTCGTTAGTTGTGTTGTAAATACGAATTTTGTTGAAATTAATACGACTTACGAATTTTTGCACAGCTCTAGTAGCCAGTACAAAATATTAGAGTGGTCTTTGAACAGTGAAATTGAACAATGCAGCTAAATCAGTCTTGCACATCTGTGTTTCCGGAAGTATGACACTCATATTTTATTTTCCAGACAATGGGCAAGTACAGGAAAGTGAAGAGGAGTCTTCTCATCTACAGAAACATGACCAAGTGCCTATCTGTGGAATATCCTTGCAGAGCCTTGAGACAGATTTGATGCATGGAAATCCTCCAGTACCAGAAGCTTGCTCGGGAAACCATCCTGTGGAAGAGAACAAGCATGAGGAAGACCCCAGTTTGCAAAGCAATAGCTTTTCAGAGGAAATAAATCACTTCAAGATCAAGAAGGAACAAACTGACAACAAGAATGTCAAAGACCTGAACAGCCAGGTTGAGGAAGGGGCTGAAAAACCACATAAGTGTTTTTACTGTGGAAAGACTTCCAATTGTAAGGCAGACCTTGTGGTCCACGAGAGAATCCACACTGGAGAGAAGCCGTACACATGCTTGGACTGCGGCAAGTGTTTCAACCGGAAGTCAACACTTGTGAGGCACCAAAGGATGCACACCGGTGAAAAGCCGTATGAGTGTGCCGTATGTGGGTGGCGTTTCAGCGCCCGGTGCAACCTAATCAATCACGAGAGGATCCACACAGGAGAAAAGCCATACAGCTGCTCCAACTGTGGGCAGAGCTTCAGTCGGCGGATGCAGTTTGTCGTACACAACAGAACCCATACAGGAGAGACGCCGTATAGGTGCATCCAGTGTGGAAAATGCTTCACTCGGCGCTCTTCCCTCTTGACACATGAGAGAAACCACACAGGCAAGAAGACAAATATTGTAGCATCGCAAGCACCGGATGAGCTTTCTGAGTGCTCAGAGGATGAGGATAATAGGCTGCAACCTGTAATTTCCGAGGAGTCTGCGGAAGATAGTAGGGGCCTGGAAAGAGATGTTTTGGAATCTCCAGGCCGTTCCCAAGCAACGGGAAAAAGTGATATCAGTTCCCATGAGACTAGGCCAGAGTGGGCTTTGGAGGAGAATGTGGGAGATGAAGGTTTTTCCAAGTCAAGTCGCTTGGAGATTAGGACACAGAATGTAAAGCAAAGACAAGATAATGAGAGAGAAAGCAGGTGTGCACAAAGTGATGTCATGGGAGGGATAGAGGCCTTTTAAGTGGTTTCAGGGCTTTAGTGGGAACAATGCTGTAAAAGGGGGAAAACAGCTCCTGATTTCTAGTCTGAAGTTCCTGGTTCCTGTACTTCAAGATTTTTTGTTTGATTACTGTTTAAGACTTCGTGTTTTTAAAGGTTTTGACTCTTGCATTCCTGTTTTTGTGTTTATGGAAATAACTTTTGAACAATACCCTGCATAAGTATTCTTTTGCTTTGTCTTAACTCAAGTCTCTGATAATTGCTTTTTGATGCCTTGGTTCAAAAGCTGAGGAACTCTTGATCTCAGGAATTACTTTTTGTACTTTTGCTGATTCTTTTTTGACTGGCTTTTTCCTTTTATACTTATTCATTAATAAACTTTTACTTATTGGATTATCTGAGTGTTGTGTGGCATTAGGTGAAAAAGTGTTCCAGGGCTACAATGCAACACCAAACACGTATACTGTATATACTTGAGTATAACCCTAGTTTTTCAGCCCATTTTTTAGGCTGAAAAATCCTCTCAGCTTATACTCAAGGTTATTTATTATTTTACTCTGTTATTAATATTACTTTACTAGCTGTACCCGCCACGCATTGCTGTGGCCAACCATCCCTCCCTCTTTCTCTCCTTCCTTCCCTCTTTCCTTCCTTCCCTCTTTTTCTTTCCCTATCTCTCTTCTTTCTTCCATCTCTACCTGTTTCTTTCCTCCCTTTCTTTGCTCTTTGGTTACATCCTTCCTTCCTTATCTTTCGTTCCTTCTCTCCTTCCTTCCTTCTCTTTTTCCTTTCACTTTTTGACTTCCTTCTCTCTTTCCTTGCTTCTCTATCTTTCTTTCTTTCCTTCTTTCCCTCCCTGCTTCTCTTCTTCCTTCCTTCCCTCTTTCCCTCCTTCTCTCGTTACTTCTTGCACATGCACACATTCATACACCCCCCCTATATGCACAAACACACACAAATATGCACATATACACACATACATTTACATACACACATATATACATATACACATGCACATATACATGCGCACACACATATACACAATATGCATGTACATATATAAACACACATACATGTACACATATACACACACTCACCGCAAACACACATATATACATAAATATATACACACACATACACACATATATACACACACAAAACACATATACTGGGCCACAGCAACGCATGACAGGGGCAGCTAGTAATAATAATAATAATAATAATAATAATAATAATAATAATAATACTTTATTTATACCCTGCCACCACGGAGAAGGCCCTCTCCCTCGTCCCCACAAGTCGCACTTGCGATGGGGACGGGAGGGAGAGAAAGGCCTCTCCGGAAGATTGAAGGGATCGTGTAGGTTCGTAAAAGGAAATGCGGTCACGAAGGTAGGCGGGTTCCAAACAAGCTCTATGAGGAGTGGCTTAAAGAGCTGGGCATGTTTAGGAGTCTAGTGTCTAGATCCAGGGAACTCATGTTACCCCTGTATTCTGCCTTGGTTAGGCCACACCTGGAATATTCAGGGAAGTCATGCTCCCCATGCTCTATTCTGCCTTGGTCAGACCACACCTGGAATATTGTGTCCAATTCTGGGCACTACAATTGAAGAGATATTGGCAAGCTGGAATGTGTCCAGAGGAGGAAGACTCAAATGATCAAGAGACCTCATGGGCCATCCAGTCCAATCCCCTGCAAAGAAGCAGGAATATTGCATTCAAATCACCCCTGACAGATGGCCATCCAGCCTCTGTTTAAAAGCTTCCAAAGAAGGAGCCTCCACCACACTCCGGGGCAGAGAGTTCCACTGCTGAACGGCTCTCACAGTCAGGAAGTTCTTCCTCATGTTCAGATGGAATCTCCTTTCTTGTAGTTTGAAGCCATTGTTCCACGTCCTAGTCTCCAGCGAAGCAGAAACAAGCTTGCTCCCTCCTCCCTGTGGCTTCCTCTCACATATTTATACATGGCTATCATATCTCCTCTCAGCCTTCTCTTCTTCAGGCTAAACATGCCCAGCTCCTTAAGCTGCTCCTCATAGAGCTTGTTCTCCAGACCTTTGATCATTTGAGTCGCCCTCCTCTGGACACATTCCAGCTTGTCAATATCTCTCTTTTGTCAGCGCCGATTGTGTTTAAGTGCAGGCCAAGGTCTTAGGCACTGCACCCAGTGTGCCGATCACCACTGGGACCACCTTGACTGGCTTGTGCGATCTTTAAATCCTCATATCGTGCCAGCTTTTCCAGTTGTTTCTATTATTAATATTATTATTATTATTATTATTATTATAAATAAATAAATAAATTCCTGGCCTATTCCCATTGACCATATTGCATTCCCATGCTGCTCTCTGCTTCTTTCATGCCTCAAGCCAAAGGTTCACACCTGTCTCCATCTTTGATGTGAAAGACTCCCCAAAGTTCCTTCAAGTTGGCCAGACAAGAGGAAGGAGAAGAGTGACGCACTTCCCCTCTGACCTCATTTCCGGAGGAGGGGCCAAACTCTTTCTTGGCGGGAAAAGGCAGAGAGCAGGAGGAAGAGGACCAAGGAGGAGGTAAGTGGTAGCCATTGAAGGCCAAAGAGAGAGAAAAAGAGATTTTTCCCTCTTCCCTTTTAAAAAAAATAGATATACACACAAATAGTTGTATTGCACCAGCCCAAGGCCATTCCCCAAAGGCCCCAAATGCACAGAGTAGAGCACTCAAAGCAAACAAGAAGCAGAATGCACCCCAAACCCAGGCCACCCTATTGTTCTTAGGCTCCTTCTACCCTGCCATATAATCCAGAATATCAAGACAGATATTCTTCTTTGAACCGGATTATCTTGAGTTTACACTGCCATATAATCCAGTTCAAAGCAGATAATCTGGATTTTATATGGCAGTGTAGAAGGGGCTTTATATCCCAGAATATCAAGGCAGAAAATCCCACAGTATCTGCTTTGAATTGGGTTATTGGAAGGCACTTCCACACAGCTCCCAAAATATCAAGGCGGAAAATCCCACATTATCTAAGATCTACAGAGACACTCGCTGGAACACCTCAGCAAGCGAGAATCCAAAAGTGGCAGGCTCAAACCCAGAACCTCAACCAATGGCTGATATCAAATGAGAGACTCCCCCCTGGGCACACAGAAGACTGGGCAACTTGGAAGGTGCTGAACAGACTGCGCTCTGGCACCACGAGATGCAGAGCCATTAAGAAATGGGGCTACAAAGTGGAATCCACGACATGCGAGTGCGGAGAGGAGCAAACCACTGACCACCTGCTGCAATGCACCCTGAGCCCTGCCTCATGCACAATGGAGGACCTTCTTGCAGCAACACCAGAGGTCCTCCAAGTGGCCAGATACTGATCAAAGGACATTTAATCAACTACCAAACTCACAAATTTTGTATTCTGTATTTTGTATTTTTGTATTTTGTCTGTTTGTTTGCTTTGTTCTGTTAGAAATGTAATATAATTGACTGGTTGCTGATGACTCGATAAATAAATAATCTAAGTGTGGACTCAGATAATAATAATAATAATAACAACTACTTTGTATTGTTGAAGGTGGTCAGTTGAAACATTCACACCTAGCTCCAGCAGACAAGAGTCCTTTGTCCCACCCTGCCTCAAAGGCACGTCTGGCGGGGACGAGAGATAGGGCCTTCTCGGTGGTGGCCCCCCGGCTGTGGAACACCCTCCCTGTAGACATCAGACAGGCACCCTCCCTTATGTCATTCCGCAAGAGCCTAAAGACATGGTTATTTGAGAAGGCGTTTAACTAAGTGCTATAACAATTGGCAATGACAACTGGAACGGAATATGGATTACGAGATTGGTTTATGATTCTACGATGAGACGGCGCGGATGATTTAGTGTAATTATATTATTGTTGTATTGCTGATTGTTATGTTGATATGCTGTTGTGTTATTGCTTCATTGTAAACTGTTTTTATATGTTGTACACCGCCGTGAGTCGCCCTAGGGCTGAGAACGGCGGTCAACAAATGCAGTAAATAAATAAATAGATATATAAACCCTTTTTCCTAGTTCCAATAGACCTCACTACCTCTGAGGATGCTTGCCATAGATGCAGGCAAAACGTCAGGAGAGAATGCCTCTAGACCAGGGGTCCTCAAACTTTTTAAGCAGAGGTCCAGGTCACAATCCCTCAAACTGTTGGAGGGCCAGATTATAATTTGAAAAAAAAATTAATGAATTCCTAGGCACTGCACATATCTGATTTGTATTGCAAAATTACTTAAAACAATACAATAATTAAAATGAAGAACAATTTAAAAAATATATAAACTTATTAGTATTTCAATGGGAATTGTGGGTCTGCTTTTGGCTGACGAGATAGGATTGTTGTTGTTGTGTGCTTTCAAGTCATTTCAGACTTAGGTTGACCCTGAGTGAGGGCCGGTTAAATGACCTTGGAGGGCCGTATCTGGCCCTTGGGCCTTAGTTTGAGGACCCCTGCTCTAGACCCTGACCATATAGCCCGAAAAAACCTACAACAACCCAATAATAATTTTATTTATACCCCACCACCATCTCCCCAAGGGGACTCGGGGCGGCTTACGTGAGGCCAAGCCCAACAACACATCAGTAAAACAACAAAGCAATAAGCAAATCATACAATTAATATAACTCACACATAGACAATAACACGCAAACATTTAAAAACCTATGGCCAGGCCAGATGTAATAGTTTAAAAATTTAAAAATTAACACCGGGCGTGAACAGAGGTAGGATGTATCTAAGCAGGAGGGTTTTAAAGAAAATGTTGGGAGAGCAACCCAATGGGTAGTTAAAGTGCTTCTGAGGACATTTTGCAGGGAATTGTTTCCTTTATTCAGGGAAGGCACACTGGAACAGCCACGTTTTCAGGCTCCTCCTAAAGACTGCTAATGTGGGGGTTGCCTGATATCCTTGGGAAGTGAGTTCCAGAGTCAGGGAGTCACCACAGAGAAGGCCCTCTTTGAAGCAGATATTGTGGGATTTTCTACCTTGATATTCTGTGATATAGGACTGTGTGGAAGGGCCCTAAGTCCACACTCAGATAATGTGGGATTTTCTGCCTTGATATTCTGGGATATAGGGCTGTGTGGAAGGGCTCCAAGATGCAGGGACTTTTAATGCCTGAATTGCAGCAGCTTCAGAAGGCTTCTTACAACTTTTAGGCCTACAAGTTGAAGATATATTTCTAACTTCACATATCTCCTTGGACCATAAATATAATCATCCGGGAATTAAACTGTTAGAATTTATGTACCCGCATAATCAATACCAGGGCTTCTCAAACTTTTTCAACCGGGGAGCCTTTTTTGAAAGAAAAGTTTAAATTATGTTTAATGTATGTGTGTGTGTATCTGACATGGGCAAGCTGGAGCCCCCGGTGGCACAGTGGGTTAAACCCCTGTTCCAGCAGGACTGAAGACCAACAGGTTGCAGGTTCGAATCCGGGGAGAGGCGGATGAGCTCCCTCTATCAGCTCCAGCTCCTCATGCGGGGACATGAGAGAAGCCTCCCACAAGGATGATAAAACATCAAAATCATCCGGGCGTCCCCTGGGCAACGTCCTTGCAGACGGCCAATTCTCTCACAACAGGATTCTCCTGACACGACAAAAAAAAAAAAAAATGGGCAAGCTTCCAGCCTTTGTTGTAGTTATTATTATTATTATTATTATTTGCCGATACATCACACAATCCTAGACACTTGGGAAGGGTCCAACGTGTGATCCAATACAACAGCCAACAGAGTGATCTTGTCTGCTGTGGACACATCTTGTTGTGTTTCAAATAAATAATAATAATAATCTATATAAATAAAAATGTAATGTTCGTTTGTGGTGATTAACAGAACTCAAAAACCACTGGACGAATTGACACCAAATTTGGACACAAGACACCTAACAACCCAATGTATGTCCTTCACTCAAAAAATATGATTTTGTCATTTGGGAGTTGTAGTTGCTGGGATTTATAGTTCACCTACAATCAAAGAGCATTCTGAACCCCACCAACGATGGAATTGAACCAAACTTGGCACACAGTTCTCCCATGACCAACAGAAAATACTGGAAGGGTTTGGTGAGCAGTGTCGTTTGGTTTTGGAGTTGTAGTTCACCTACATCCAGAGATCACTGTGGACTCAAACAATGATGGATCTGGACCAAACTCTACAAGAATACTCAATATGCCCAAAACCACATATGTACACAAATACACATATAAACAAATATAGACACATACACAAACAAAACATATAGACACAGACTGGGCCACAGCAACGCGTGGCAGGGAATAGCCAATAATAATAATAATAATAATAATAATAATAATAATAGCAACCCCAGGGACAATCCTGTCCAACCCCCTTTTTACTTGCACACTCAAAGCACCCCAAACAGATGCCCATCCAGCCTTTGTAATAATAATTATAGGAGCAACCCCTGGGACCATCCAGTCCAACCCTCATCTGCCATGCAGGAAAAGGGTTCTGGAAGCAAGAAAGACTTGGGGAAAGAGTCTTCATGGGGAGGAGGGAAGGGAGGAAAGAAAGGGGAAGACGTTCGATGTGGGCGTGTAGGTTTAGAACTTCCATCTCCTAGAGCTGTGGTTCTCAACCTGTGGGTCCCCAGATGTTTGGCTTTCCAACTCCCAGAAATCCTAACAGCTGTTAAACGGGCTGGGATTTCTGGGGTTGTAGGCCAAAACACCTGGGGACCCACAGGTTGAGAACCACTGTCCCAGAGACCTCAGTTGCTGCGGCCATTGAGGTGGATTCTGGGAGATATGAAGACTGAGGTTTGGGGGCAAAATCTCCTTTAAGAGCCAAAATGAAGCCTCTCTCTCCTTTATTCTTCCCTATCCTGGCTCCTCTCCCCTTTAACAAAAAGCAAATGGTGAAAATGGTTTGTTCTTGTTACAAACCTCCATGTTATTTTCCATGTTTTGGTGACCTTAAGGTAAACCTACAATAAGGTTTTCTTAGCAAGGTTTGCTCAGAGGGGAGTTGCCTATTCCCTTGATGCTTCTCACTCAGATAACATTCTTCTATAGTGCACAGTTGCTCTTTTTCTTTTTTCTTTCTTTTTAAAGGAGACAGAGATGGTGCTAGAATCTTTTCTCAGCCCACCAAAGTCAGGACAGGAATCACTTGAGCCCATTTGGATACAGTTCTATGTGGAAACAACAGAAGAGGGCGACAAAGAGTCCGCTTCCTTTGGTAAGTACTTACCCATTAAAAAATATATCTAAGGACAGGTGTCTTCTTTCCCAGCTGCTTTGTGTGGCATCCACACAAAGCAGCTGGGAAAGGAGGGCGACTAAAATGATCAAGGGTCTGGAGAACAAGCCCTATGAGGAATGGCTTAAAGAGCTGGGCAGGTTTAGCCTGAAGAAGAGAAGACTGAGAGGAGAGATGATAGCCATGTATAAATATGTGAGAGGAAGCCACAGGGAGGAGGGAGCCAGCTTGTTTTCTGCTTCCTTGCAGACTAGGACACAATGGAACAATGGCCTCAAACTACAAGAGAGGAGATTCCATCTGAACATGAGGAAGAACTTCCTGACTGTGAGAGCTGCTCAGCAGTGGAACTCTCTGCCCCAAAATGTGGGGGAGGCTCCTTCTTTGGATGCTTTTCTGAAGGCTAAACATGCCCGGCTCTTTAAGCCACTCCTCAAAGAGCTTGTTCACCAGACTCTTGATCATTTGAGTCACCCTCCTCTGGACACATTCCAGCTTGTCAACATCTCCCTTCAATTGTGGTACTCAGAATTGGACACAAAGGATTCTGGATGTGGTCTAACCAAGGCAGAATAGATGTTTACATTACAATTCATAACAGTAGCAAAAAGTAGAGTTATGAAGTAGCAACAAAAATAATTTTATGGTTGGGGGTCACTATAACATGAGGAACTGTATTAAGGGATCGCAGCATTAGGAAGGTTGAGAAACACTGATATGCATTAACAAACAAATAGTGAAGGCTTGGAAGGTTGCTATTTCCAACACAAACTGCTGTAATTCCACAGTATAGATCAAACATTAGGGGGCAGTTGATGCAGTTGACTTATTACTATTTGCTAGGCTTACTGGATTCCTTTCATTTGGTTTATTTACATTGTGGAATTAATGCAATTTGACACAGTTTATTTACATTGTGGAATTAATGCAATTTGACACAGTTTAACTGCTATGTCTCCATGTTATGGAATCCTGGGAGTTATGGTGTAACAAAGCCTTTCGCCTTATCTGCAAAAGAATGCCTTTTGTTTATGTATTTATGCATGGCTCTTTAACCACAAAGGCTCTCGAAGTGGCTTACTAAAATTCAAGACGTGCCAGTTTTCCTCTGGGAGGACGGAAATGATATGGATACTGTATTGTGTATGCTGGAGCTACAACTCCCAGGATTTCATAACTACCAGGACTGTGGCGCAGCTGGCTGGGAGTCAGGTGAATTAAGATAACTACTGACTGAAAGGTAATGAGTTCGAAGCCAGCCCGGGTCGGAGTGAGCTTCCGACCATTGTGTAGCTTGCTGTTGACCTTTGCAGCCCAAAAGACAGTTGCATCTGTCAAGTAGGAAATTTAGGTACCGCTTATGCGTGGCAGCTAATTTAACTAATTTACAACACCATGAAATCTCCAGCAAGTAAGCAAAGAATGAGGAAGTACTCCATCAGTGTCACAAATGGATGGTGAAGTGACATGTCCCCTGATGTCCAGAATACCCTCATGAAAGATGGAAAGTTAAATAGCCTCTGTGTGTCTGTCTATATATGTCAATGGCATTGAATATTTGCCATGTATATGTACATTGTAATCCGCCCTGAGTCCCCTGGGGGTGAGAAGGGCGCGGAATATAAATACTGTAAATAATAAATTGATCAGGACAGTTAAAGTGGTGTGAAACAACTTCAATTCCACAATGTAAATCAACCCTAAGTTATCCATTGATAACTGGTAGCCAGTGCAGAATATTAGAGTGGTCTTTGAATAGTAAAATTGAACAATGGAGCTAAATCAGTCTTGCACACCAGTGTTTCTGGAAGTATGACACTCATTTTTATTTCCAGACAATGGGCAAGTGCAGGAAAGTGAAGAGGAGTCTTCTCATCTACAGAAAGATGACCAAGTGACTATCTATGAAATATCCTTAGAGGGCCTTGAGACAGCGTTGATGCCTGGAAGTCTCTTGGTACTAGAAGAACAAATAGAGCAAAAAGACCCTGACTTACATAGCAGTAGCTTTTCAGAGGAAATAATCCACTCTGATATCAATAAGGAACAAACTAATGACAGGAATTTCAAAGACCTGAACAGCCAGGTTAAGAAAGTGGCTGAAAAACCGCATATGTGTTTGTACTGTGGACAGACCTCCAGTTGTAAGGCATACCTTGTGGCCCACGAGAGAACCCACACTGGAGAGAAGCCCTACACATGCTTGGATTGCGGCAAGTGTTTCAACCGGAAGTCAACGCTTGTGAGGCACAAAAGGATGCACACCGGCGAAAAGCCATACGAGTGTACCAAATGCGGTAGGCGTTTCAGTGTCCGGTGCAACCTAACCAATCATGAGAGGATCCACACGGGAGAAAAACCATACAGCTGCTCCAACTGTGGGCAGAGCTTCAGTCGGCGGATGCAGTTTGTTATACACAAGCGAACCCATACAGGAGAGACGCCACATAGGTGCACCCAGTGTGGAAAATGCTTCACTCGGCGCTCTACCCTCTTGACACACGAGAGAATCCACACAGGCAAGAAGCCAAACACGGGTACAAATTGTGCACAGGAGGATCCACACAGGAGAGAGACCATATAAATGTCCATCGTGTGATCAAACATTTGCATAGACTTATGGCAAGCATCCTCACTACCTCTGAGGATGCTTGCCATAGATGCAGGCGAAACATCAGGAGAGAATGCCTCTAGACCATGGCCATATAGCCCGAAAAAAACTACAACAACCCGCTTAAGAAAATGCATATAGGAACACAGGCTGCTGGTGTTGGGGCCTCAATCCAAACCGCTAGCTAAATACCCAGAAACCATGACATTTTCTGAAAAGAGAAGTGCCTAATTTAGCTTTTTAAACATATCAACTTTTTATTATTATTATTATGGAGAACAGACAACTCCACATCTGTATGCTTGTCCACTATGCCCTGCCTTATGTATGGAGGAAGAATTGTTGGAGGCTACAGATAATGCTGTTGTTGTCCGTTTTTGGTCAAAAGATACATAGCCACCTGCGCTCCTTCTATTTTTATCAGTTTTATACCAATGTATGCAATGCTTTCGATATGAAATAAATAAAATTATTGTTATGGAAAAGTAACAAAATATGAAAGTGCAAGTGATAAGACACAAAGATTGGAACAAGTTTAACATCTGCATTAGATGTCCAGCTTTCTGGTTCACAAGACCCGTGTCAAATAAAATGTTGTACCCAAGATGCCTCAAAGCTCTTTGTTTTTTTAGAATTCTTAATGCAACATTGAATATAATACAAAGTTTTGGTCGGTACACTTTCCTGCATAATATAGATTGAAGATTTAAGAGTTTATTGATTTATAGAAAACTAGCCGTTCCCTGCCACGCGTTGCTGTGGCCCACATGAGGGTTCTGTGTGGGAGGTTTGGCCCAATTCTATTGTTGGTGGGATTCAGAATGCTCTGTGATTGTAGGTGAACTATAAATCCCAGCAATTACAATTCCCGAATGTCAAGATTCTATTTTCCCCCAAACTCTACCAGTGTTCACATTTGGGCATATTGAGTATTTGTGTAGAGTTTGGTCCAGATCCATCATTGTTTGAGTCCACAGTGATCTCTGGATGTAGGTGAACTACAACTCCAAAACCAAAGGACACTGCCCACCAAACCCTTCCAGTATTTTCTGTTGGTCATGGGGGTTCTGTGTGCCAAATTTGGTTCAATTCCATCGTTGGTAGGGTTCTGAATGCTCTTTGATTGTAGGTAAACTATAAATCCCAGCAACTACAACTCCCAAATTACAATCTTTTTTTTTTTTTTAGTGAAGGACATACATTGGGTTGTTAGGTGTCTTGTGTTCAAATTTGGTGTCAATTCGTCCAGTGGTTTTTGAGTTCTGTTAATCCCACAAACGAACATTACATTTTTATTTATAGAGAAGACAATTGTGCAGGTCTTAATAAAGGTTTAGGAATGGTATAGGAATACACATCTGTTTCATATTATACAGTTGGATCCTCACATTTCAGGTTTAACAGTTATAGATTTGATTATTCACAGAATTGATTAATATGGCCTCTTCGGGAATTTCCAAGTTTTCCAATATACCTCAGAGTACATCTACACTGTAGAATTAATGCAGTTTGGCACCATTTTAACTGTCGTGACTCACTGCTATAGAGACCAGGGAGGAGTTGTTTGGTGAGGCACCAGCATTCTTTGGTAGACAACGCTAAAGACCTTGAAAAGCTACAACTCCCATGATTTCATAGTCTGAGACATGGCACCTAAAGTGGTGTCAAACTGCATTGGCTCAATAATGTTCTATAGTTATTGCAGAATTGTGCTGGAAGACCAGATATTCTTAAAGAGCTGAACTCTCAGGTAATAAAAAGTGAGTTTTTTCAAATATGTTTTCTGAAAGGAAGACATTGCTCACCAGATAAAAACCACAAAATATCCCTTATTTGCGTTTTCCCTCTGAAACGTGCCTACCTAGTTTGAGCCTTGAAAGCTGGATCCAAATCCATCCCTCTCGACATCCATTCTACATCAACTATTTGTGAGGCTTTCTAGTACTTGGAAACAGGAAGCAAAAGTATAAATCAAAAAGCAAACAACCCCATTTTTTGCACCTGAAGGCCCCCAAAATTAGTTTTCGCGGGTTAATGGCTAGGGTGTGTTCTTTAACTGAGGGACTATATACCCTCCCAGGTCCAATTTGAGTTTGAAAGCTTTGCACAGTCGGGCCTGATTAGCATTCAGATGGGAGTCCACAATGAAGAGGTGTTGTAAGCTATATTTCAGAGGAAGAAATGGCTAAACATTTGTCCCACCCTGGTCATTCCACAGATATATAAACCCAATTTTCCTAGTTCCAACAGACCTCACAACCTCTGAGGATGCTTGCCATAGATGCAGGCAAAACGTCAGGACAGAATGCCTCTAGAACATGGCCATATAGCCCGAAAAAACCTACAACAACCCAATGGCTAAACACTTGAAATTGTTGGGTGGTGTGTTGTCTTCACAAGTATTCTTTTCACAACACTGGAGAAATTATACTGTTTAGCTGCTATAACACCACCTGACATCCGCCGGGAAGCAGCAACCAGCAATGAAAGGACCAAGGCAGTGACATTTCCAGCCCAACCTCTGTTCAGATATCAGCCAGCACGCCAATGCCTTAAATCAAGAAATAGTTTTCTAAGATCTACTGAGATACTAGCAGGACTTATTTATTTAGGCCCGTGATGGTGAACCTATGACATGCGTGTCAGCACTGACACACATGGCTATTTTTGATGACACGCAGACACATGTGGCCACATACAGAGAAATACACCTTATAAGAGCCAATCTAATTCCATCCTTAAATTTGTAAAAGGCTCTACAGATATAATATATGCACGTTTGAGCATTGTTCACTCCATAACTCAGCATGGATTATACATTTTTCTTATTTAAACTAAATATTGCAAAATTGTGGTTTTCTTAAGGAAACTCCCAGCAATATGTCCCTAAATGCACTTTATTAGTGATCTAGCATTGTCCGCACGCCCCATCCCTCTCCGAAAATTCTATCCTAGTTATATTTCACCTGTCACGCTTAGCATTATTTTTAAAATTTTAATTATTACATTTGGCCCAGCCATAGGTTTTTAAACGTCGTCGTGTTATTGTTAACATTTATTGCTTATTTTCTGCTTATGAGTTTTATTTATTGTTTTTACTGTTGTATTGTGGGCTCGGCCTCATGTAAGCCTCACCGAGTCCCTTGGGGAGATGGTAGCGGGGTACAAATAAAGTTTTATTATTATTATTATCATTATTATTATTATTATTATTATTATTTATTTTTGAAGTGGCACTCCACCCAAGTTATGCTCAGGGTTTTTGGCAAATTTTGACACACCAAGCTCAAAAGGTTGCCCATCACTGACTTAGGCAATCTCTCGTCCAAGTAAGATTGCCCTCCAAGTGGCTGTGGGTACATAGGTGACTGTGGAGCTACATGTTCTCCCGCAGTGAGTGCATCGGTTTCCAGGTGTAAGATGGTCCCAGTCGGGGTTGGCTTGATGTGCCTTTCTCTTGGCACATCTCTCTCTTTCACCCTCCATTCGTGCTTCTTTAAATTCTAAAGCACTGCTCGGTTAGGGTTGGCTTGACGCGCCTTCCTCTTGGCACGTTTCTCTTATTCACCCTCCATTCGTGCCTCTTCAAATTCTGCAGCACTACAAACAAACAGACAAAATACAAAATTTGTGAGTTTGGTAGTTGATTAAATGTCCTTTGACCAGTATCTGGCCACTTGGAGTGCTTCTGGTGTTGCTGCAAGAAGGTCCTCCATTGTGCAAGTGGCAGGGCTCAGGCTGCATTGCAGCAGGTGGTCTGTAGTTTGCTCTTCTCTGCACTCGCATGTCGTGGATTCCACTTTGTAGCTCCATTTCATGAGGTTGGCTCTGCATGTTGTGGTGCCAGAGTGCAGTCTGTTCAGCGCCTTCCAAGTCGCCTAATTTCCTGTGTGCCCAGGGGGGAGTCTCTCCTTTGGTATCAGCCATTGGTTGAGGTTCTGGGTTTGAGCCTGCCACTTTTGGACTCTCGCTTGCTGAGGTGTTCCAGCAAGTGTCTCTGTAGATCTTAGAAAACTATTTCTATTTCAGCAAACATTCAATGCATTTTTGACATACAAACAAGGGATGAGCTGGAGGTGTCTCTGCCTTGGTCCTTTCACTATTGGCTGCTACTTCCCGGCGATGTCAGGTGGTGCAATACCGGCTAAGCAGTGTAATTTCTCCAGTGGTGTAGGGCGCAGGCACTCATGTCTCATTAAGAGCCACATCCACTGTTTTAGCGTGGTGAGATGCGTTCCACACTGGGCATGCGTACTCAGCAGCAGAGTAGCACAGCGCAAGGGCAGATGTCTTCACTGTGTCTGGTTGTGATCCCCAGGTTGTGCCAGTCAGCTTTCGTATGATATTGTTTCTAGCACCCACTTTTTTGTTTTAGCATGCAAGCAAGCAAGCAAAACAACCATGACCTTGGAGGTGTCTATGGACAATGCCGACTCTTCGGCTTAGAAATGGAGATGAGGCACCAACCTCCAGAGTCAGACACGACTGAACTTAATATTAAGGGGAAAACGTTTACCTTTACCTTTGTGTGTTTAAATACATTACAACTGTACCCTCAGTTCACTTCTGACACAATAAATAAATACATTTTCCTATGCAGATCTGCTTATTGTTCAGAGAGACTTCTGCTCCCTCCTCCCATTGCTCAACCCAAGAGTTCCTATTTGTGGTGAGAAGGGGAGACACAGGCTTAGAACTTCCTTCTAGTTGGCCAGAGAAGGCAGAGAGGAGGGAGAAGAGTGACACATCCCCCCCGCTCTGACGTCACTTCCGGAGGAGGGGCCAGGCTCTCTCTTGGCGGGAAAAGGCAGAGAGAAGGCGGAAGAGGACCAAGGAGGAGGTAAGGTGGAGGCGCTGAAGGCCCAAGAGAGAAAAGGGGGGAAGAGATGAAAGGAAGGGAAAGAGAGAACAGGGAAGTCCAGGGAGGGGGCAAGGCCCCTCCTATTTTCAGGATCTTTTCGGTTTGTTTATCATTCATAATAATAATAATAATATAATCTGTGGGAGAGTGTGGATGAGCTCCCTCTGTCAGCTCCAGCTTCCCATGCGGGGACATGAGAGAAGCCTCCCAAAAGGATGGGTAAAACATCCCCCTGGACAACGTCATTGCAGACGACCAATTCTCTCACACCACAAGCGACTTGCAGTTTTCTCAAGTTGCTCCAGACACACACACAAAATAATAATAATATAATAAACTTTGTATTGTCGAAGGCTTTCATGGCTGGAATTACTAGGTTCTTGTGGGTTTTTTCGGGCTATAGGGCCATGTTCTAGAGGCATTCACTCCTGACGTTTCGCCTGCATCTATGACAAGCATCCTCAGAGGTAGTGAGGTCTGTTGGAATTAGGACAATGGGTTTATATATCTGTGGAATGGCTGGGGTGGGACAAAGAGCTCTTCTCTGCTGGAGCTAGGTGTGAATGTTTCAACTGACCACCTTCATTAGCATTTGAAGGCCTGGCTGAGCCTGGGAAAATTCCCTGTTGAGAGGTGTTAAGATGTGCCTGGTTGTTTCCTCTCTGCTGTTTTGCTGTTGTAATTTTAGAGTTTTTTAATACTGGTAGCCAGATTTTGTTCATTTTCATGGTCTCTTCCTTTCTGTTGAAATTGTCCACATGCTTGTGGATTTCAATGGCTTCTCTGTGTAGTCTGACATGGTGGTTGTGGGAGTGGTCCAGCATTTCTGTGTTCTCAAATAATATGCTGTGTCCAGGTTGGTTCATCAGGTGCTCTGCTATGGCTGATTTCTCTGGTTGAAGTAGTCTGTAATGCCTTTCATGTTCCTTGATTCGTGTTTGGGCAATGAATTGGAGCATTCAGAAGCCTCTTGCAACCCTTAGGACTAGAACTAGAAGACATATTTCTAACTCCACATACCTCCAAGGACCATAAATGTAACCATTAGGAAATTGTACTTTCAGCATTACACACCCACATAGTCTATACCAGGGACTTACGCGAACCCTCGTTGTCCAGAAAGGTGCAACACAGAACATAAAATACAACAAAATTTGCAAAAATCAATAAACAATACTAACTAACATAAAATAACAACTTACAGAAAATGATAGAAAACAACTCTATTTAAATAAAATAACTAATAAAAATAAAACAATAAATTATAGTTAAAACGAGCTGGGTGAGACCATTATGTGCCATTGATGACATAATGGTCTCACCTGGGTTGTTTCCCAGAGTAACAATGTGATATATTCAAAACGATACAATTGTCTTGTCGCAGCACCTGTTCTGAGAGGATCCCCCAGTGGTGCAATGGGTTAAACCCTTGTGCCAGCAGAAATCCAGGGAGAGCAGGTTGAGCTACCTCTGTCAGCTCCAGCTCCCCATGCAGGGACATGAGAGAAACCTCCCACATGGATAGTAAAAACATCCAATATCTGGGCGTCCCCTCGGCAACTTCCTTGCACACGGCCAATTCTCTCACATCAGAAGTAACTTGCAGTATCTCAAGTTGCCCCTGTCAAGAGATCCAGATTCCCCCCCCAACATTTATCTAGTATTAAGAACTTTCATGTATTAGGACCCAGACACGAATCAAGTCCTCAGTAAAAGGGTTGACTAACTTTTCTTTACTTTTTCAACAAACATACTTGCCATAGCATAATATCTTTTGAAGCTTTCCTTCTTTCAATTTGTACCCATACAACAGAGTTGTTATTCTTGAAAAATGTCCTTAGTTGAACTATTTGAAATGCATAATAATATAGTTCCAAATTTGGTATTACCAGCCTCCTCCTGAAGAGTGAGCATATTTAGAGCCCTTAACAAACTTCAAAGATTTTCCTTTTGCAAAAGCATTCTCAATATATTTTAGCCATTTCTTAAATTTTCCTTGTACTTTTTTTTTTTTGTCATATCAGGAGCGACTTGAGAAACTGCAAGTCGCTTCTGGTGTGAGAGAATTGGCCATCTGCAGGGACGTTGCCCAGGGGACGCCTGGATGATTTGATGTTTTTATCATCCTTGTGGGAGGCTTCTCTCATGTCCCCATGAGGAGCTGGAGCTGATAGAGGGAGCTCATCCGCCTCTCTCCGGATTCGAACCTGCGACCTGTCAGTCTTCAGTCCTGCCGGCACAGGGGTTTAACCCAGTGTGTGGGGGCTCCTGGGAAATTGTACTAACTAAAAATAACAATGGAGGAAGAGTATGTGCTGTAACCACTGCTAATTTTCCCAATAATGATTATTGAAACTCAGTTCCTCCCAGGAACCAGGCCACACACCCACCCCAAACCCTGGCATTTACCTGGTGGGTAAACCAGAGGAGCCTGGCAGCAATGCCTACCTGTGGGGCCTGCCAGCAGTGTAGGCCCGTCACAGAGCTCTCCTGGTGCTCAAAAACAAAGTATCAGCAGGTGGAGAGAGAAGGAGGCAAATCTCTCCCACCACCACCCCCTGACACATTGTTTTTGAGCACTGGGAGAGCTCTCTGGAGATAAGCTTTTGGGGGAAAATGGGGGGCTGTGAGGGTGGGGGCACCATCCTACTCGTTCAGGTTCTTAAAGGCCAAAGAACTTGTATCACTGTGGGGATTGACTCCAGGGGCACCTCAGTTAAAACCAAGACAGAAAATTGCAATAAAAGAAGCCTATGCTTTAAAGCAGGCATGGGGAACCTTTGGCCCTCCAGATGTGGTGGACTTCAACTCCCACAATTCCTTGAGGCTCGGCATTCGCCCCAAAGGCTTACCTTGGCCCAACGAGGTTTGTTTGGCTCTTTTTCATGGAGGACGGGCAGCAAAGGGGGAGAGACGAGCGTAACGTAGCTGTGCAGATGGCGAGGAAGGATGCGGAGCCCACAGACTGGCCTCGGAGGGAGAGAGCGGGCGGAAACCCCTGCGGGCAACGCGCCTCCTCGCCGCTTCGGCCCGTAGCAACCGCCCCGCATGGACCCCCTCCCTAGCAACGACGCCGGCTGAGTGACATCGTGCAGAGCTTGTCGGGGAAAAGGGAAGGTGAAGGCTGGAGGGAAAGGGCTCTGCGCTGTTTACAGAGACAGGGAATGTTGTTGTCCTCTTGGACAAAATGGGGGGGGGGGGAATGTCACACTTATACAGAGGGGCATGGCCAGGCCCTGTAGTGTCCTGCCATGCATTTTGGGGGAGAGGGGCACAAGAAAGTTCTGTGGCACTAGAAATAGCCTTGCTAGTAACATGTGACCTGCAGTTCAAAGTGGCTATAGCTAGGGAGGGGGTCCATGCGGGGCGGTTGCTAAGGGCTGAAGCGGCGAGGAGGCGCGTTGCCCGCAGGGGTTTCCGCCCCCTCTCTCCCTCCGAGGCCAGTCTGTGGGCTCCGCATCCTTCCTCGCCATCTGCACAGCTACGTTACGCTCGTCTCTCCCCCTTTGCTGCCCGTCCTCCATGAAAAAGAGCCAAACAAACCTCGTTGGGCCAAGGTAAGCCTTTGGGGCGAATGCCGAGCCTCAAGGAATTGTGGGAGTTGAAGTCCACCACACCTGGAGGGCCGAAGGTTCCCGACCCCTGCTTTAAAGTGTTTAAAAAGTTATTCATAACATGTGCCCCAACAGTTCTAGCCACAGGTGCTTTTATCAATTAGTGAACAGATAATGTGAGCTTACCCTTATTTTTCCAGTTGCATATTTGTTTATTATTGAGCTTATCTTGCAATTATTTCCAAAAAACTACCACTTTGTAGAAGCAAAATATTCTTTTGACCAGTTGGGTCTTAATTGATAGCAAACCAAAAAGCATTATTGGTAAGAAACCAATAGGGATATCCCACAAGGAGAGCTTCCCAGTTGGATCAGTCTTCTCCTCTCAACTCCAGGCCTTGCTATACTTTTGAGGGATCAATATTGAAGTCCGACTGAAATCTTTCTGTGTTCAACCACTATTTAGATGTCGCCTCTTATTGTCCAACAGATACCCACTGAATAAATCTTCTGAAGAAAACTCTGTGACACTTCTCCTAGAGTTGCAGTATTTCCAAAAGGATTTCAAGGCACACAGCTATAAAAGCAACAAGGAAATAATTGAGCATAAAAACCCACAAGCCATCATCCTGTAGAATCAAAGGAGAAAGAAACATTGCATTGTAAAGATAGTGGTTTAGAAAATAGAACAACAAAAGACTGGGAACCAGAAATGTTGTGTTCTTTGAGTTGTTCATATTTGTGAAATTCTCACTTAATATATGAATTCTGACTGAATATTCAGATCTCATACATTCATTTTGCAGTGGTATGGAACGTGCAAAGAGCTTACGTCGGAAAACTATTCTTCCTATACATCAAGAAACTCACACAGAGGAGAAACCATATAAATGCACAGAATGTGGAAAGAGTTTCTCTTATAAAAAGAAACTTAATTTACATCAAAGAACACACACAGGGGAGAAACCATATAAATGCACAGAATGTGAAAAGAGCTTCTCTAACGCTCGAGGTCTGCGTATCCATAAAAGAACCCACACAGGGGAGAAACCATATAAATGCACAGAATGTGAAAAGAGCTTCTCTAACGCTGGAGGTCTGCGTATCCATAAAAGAACCCACACAGGGGAGAAACCATATAAATGCACAGAATGTGAAAAGAGCTTCTCTAACGCTGGAGGTCTGCGTATCCATAAAAGAACCCACACAGGGGAGAAACCATATAAATGCACAGAATGTGAAAAGAGCTTCTCTAACGCTGGAGGTCTGCGTATCCATAAAAGAACCCACACAGGGGAGAAACCATATAAATGCACAGAATGTGAAAAGAGCTTCTCTAACGCTGGAGGTCTGCGTAACCATCAAAGAACCCACACAGGAGAGAAGCCACATAAATGCATGGAATGTGGAAAGAGCTTCAGTCACAGTGCGGGTCTGCATACTCATCAAAGGATCCACACAGGGGAGAAACTACATAAATGCATCGAATGTGGAGACAACTTCTCTACCAGTACAGGTCTGCATAACCATCAAAGAACCCACACAGGGGAGAAACCATATAAATGTAGAATGTGGAAAGAGCTTTAAATACTCTAACAAGATGAGTGACCATCTAAAGACCCACACAGGGGAGAGACCACATAAATGCATGGAATGTGGGAAGAGCTTCATTCGGATTGACAGGCTGCATGACCATCAAAAGACCCACACAGGGGAGGAGCCACATAAATGCATGGAATGTGGGAAGAGCTTCTCTCGGAGGGACAACCTGCGTACTCATCAAAGGACCCACACAGGGGAGAGGCCATATGAATGTACAGAATGTGGGAAGAGTTTTAGTAATAGTGCATATCTGCGTTGCCATCAAGGAATCCACACAGGGGAGAAACGATACGAATGCACAGAATGTGGAAAGAGCTTCCAATACAGAGTAAGCTTTACTGCCCATAGAAGGCTCCACACAGGAGAGAAGCCATATAAATGCATGGAATGTGGAAAGAGCTTCCGTGTCAGAGAAAGTTGGCATTCCCATCTAAGGATCCACACAGGAGAGAAGCCATACAAATGTATGGAATGTGGAAAGAGCTTCTGTGTCAGGGAAAGTTTGCATTACCATCTAAGGATCCACACAGGAGAGAAGCCATATAAATGCATGGAATGTGGAAAGAGCTTCCGTGTCAGAGGAAGTTTGCATTCCCATCTAAGGATCCACACAGGAGAGAAGCCATACAAATGCATAGAATGTGGAAAGAGCTACAGTGACAGAGGAAACCTGCGTAGTCATCAAAGGACCCACACGGGGGAGAAGCCATATAAATGCATGGAATGTGGAAAGAGCTTCCGTATCAATACAAGTTTGCGTTCCCATCTAAGAACCCACACAGGAGAGAAGCCACACAAATGCATAGAATGTGGAAAGAGCTTCCGTGAGAGAGCACACCTGCACCGTCATCAAAGGACCCACACACGGGAGAAGCCACATAAATGCATGGAATGTGGAAAGAGCTTCAGTAGTCATGGACGTTTGCATTCCCATTTAAGGATCCACACAGGAGAAAAGCCATAGAAATGCATGGAATGTGCAAAGAGCTTCAGTCGCAGTGATAATTTGTGTTCCCATCGAAGGACCCACACAGGAAAACAACCATACAAATGTATAGAATGCAGCAAGAGCTTCATTACTAGGAAGGCATACACCAGACATCAAATTGCTCACATAAGTGAGAAGCCTTAGAAATGCATGGAGTGTGGAAGGAACTTCACTAATAGCAGAGTCTGCACTATGTATTAAGGAATATATATCGTTGGCTTGCTTAAAGCTTTGTTTTGTGGACTGTTTTTTGTGTTCATTTTTTCAATAAATTGTATTATAATTTGTTTTTAAAACAGAACTCATGTGGTGCAGAACACATATAAAGGCTTAGATTTTGGAAAAAGCTAAAAAGGACTTGCTTGGATTTGTGTTCCTGTATAGTTTTACTGAAAAAAAATTCCAGAAGACCTGAGAAGTAAACTTAAGAATAAAAAATTAGTGGAGGCGGAAACTGCTCTTTCTTGGAAGGAATGGGAACAAAATTCCTACGTATAGGACGACTTAAATTGGCAATAGTTTTAATGTTTTAACAATGTTTTATACTGTTTTGACTTGATATGTAGACCTATGTTTTTTGTTGTTAGCTGTCTGAGTCCCTCTGCAGAGGTTGAGGTAGGGCGGGATATAAATGTCCTAAATAAATAACAAATAAATTGATGGGCAAGTTTAATAAGTTAGAAGAACAAAGTATCCTGAATGGGTTTGAGAGGCAACAGCTATATAATTGTTAAAAGGACTGGTTAGGTAAAAAACCCCAGATGTAGAGAGTTGAAGAAATATAAAGAATGGCTAAGTAAACTTTAAAAGCATGCAATATCGGGGAAAGGATGAGTTGGGAAATGTCAGGTTTTACAATGTATTGTAATATAGCTGAGTCATGTATAAAGAACAGCAAATCAATCTCTGCCACCAATTATAACGATCGATCACAGATCAAACGATACACCAATGCTGCCACCAATATTATACCTGGATCAATTAATGGATCCCGCTAGCTGCCAAATCAAATTATAAAGATTCACAGACCAAAATAACTGCTGTAAACTAATATAATGGATTCAAACAATCCACTGACACCAATATGTAGAGCAGCCACTCATTAATAAGAGCTAACCAGATCATTAGGCTTTTTTACTCATGAAATAACTCTTCTTAAGTTTAATAGAGAGAAACATGAACTGAGTAAGTTATGGCTGTATCATTACTGAAAACAATTGTTGATATTGTTTCTTCTTCTTGGCTGACGTCTTTCTACTTTTAGAACTGAGGAAACCCAGCCACAGAATCTCTTGTGTTGCAATGGAGTTTGTTCTTCAGAGATATTAAATGCTTATCTAAAAATATTCACACACAGTCTGTGGTAGTGTGAAAATAGAATGAAACGTTTATTAAACAATCTTGAAAGAAATCTTCAGGTACAGAATGCTTATTGGTTTCGTTAAAATCGTACAGTGCTTGTATTCAGTTCCAGTTATAACTTTCAAAGTGAGAATTTATATCTTCTCTTAAATTCAATTCTTCACTACAAACAGCCCAAAACACAGGGTCTGTCTAGAACCAGTTCTTCTTCTGAAGTAACTATCTAAATCTATTTCTAAGTTAGACTTCTCACTAAATCTGCTATTCTCCAACTACAACTGCTCTCTCAAACTCTTCATTCCAACTCCCCTCAGGATTTTAAAACACTCCTCTTTTCCTCTCAGCTTCTCCTAAACTCCGCCCCTTTCTCTACACCAATCCCTGCCATTCCCTGCCATCTAATGCCTAAGACACGCCCCCCTGCTCTGAACTACACTCAAGATGGCGTCTCCCTTCTCCAAAATGGCTGCTGATGCTTCGCCTTGCCCATTCCCTATCTCTCTAGGCTTACAGGCTTTTCCTGACCCTGCATCCTGGCTGTAACTATGGTAAGGGTTCTTCACATCATGCACTGCTAATAGGCTTCTATTGGAAATGCTGAGTCATGCATTAACTGTATATAGGACATCATTTGGGAAATGTGTTCTGGCCTGGTCCAGGTGTGTGTGAATGATGCAATCCTGGGTCTGAGTTAAGTCAATGAGTTGGGAACCAATTGGAGATTGCTATGTGTAAATGTACAGAATTGTATATAAGGAAGTCATGTACAGTGTATTCTCTCTCTCCTTGTGCTGTGATGCTGTTTCCCAAAGGCTCTGTGTATTTTATTAAAGGAACCTGTCTGCTAAGACAAGATATAACCGTGTGCTGTGGTAAGTTTGTAGTGTCATCTAGATTGGAGGGGAAAACAATAGTAAAACTGACAATGGCCGGGCATGTGCTCAAGTGGCTGTGGAGAGTCCCAGAGTGAGTGCAGTTTGTGGGAGCAGTTGACTGAAAATACTGTGCAGGAAGAAACTACTGGAAAGTGCTGAAGTTGTGCAACTGATCTGCTGCTAAATTGTGAGATAAAGTGCGACAGGAAAATATACAATGAATAGGTGAAGAAATAGGGCTGAAGCTGTTAGAAAAGATTTGGGAAGGAGATCTAGGGCAGCGTTTCTCAACCTGGGGTTCAAGACCCCCCCCCCAGGGGGGGGGGTTCATGAGGGGGTGTCAAAAGGGTCGCCAATTGTAGAAAACTATTTTCTGTTGGTCATGGGGGTTCTGTATGCAAAATTTGGCCCAATTCTATCGTTGGTGGGGTTCAGAATGCTCTTTGATTGTAGGTGAACTATAAATCCCAGCAACTACAACTCCCAAATGTCAAGGTCTATTTTCCTCTGGATGTAGGTGAACTTCCAACTCCAAAAATCAAAGTCAATGCCCACCAAACCTTTCCAGTATTTTCTCTGGGTCATGGGAGTTCTGTGTGCCAAGTTTGGTTCAATTCCATTGTAGGTGGAGTTCAGAATGCTCTTTGATTGTGGGTGAACTATAAATCCCAGCAACTACAACTCCCAAATGAAAAAAAATCAACCCCCCCCCCCAATACATTCTGCATATCGGATATTTACATTACAATTCATAACAGTAGTAAAGTTACAGTTATGAATAGTAACGAAAATAATTTTATGTTTGGGGGTCACCACAACATGAACTGTATTAGGAGGTCGCGGCATTCGGAAGGTTGAGAACCACTGACCTGAAAAAGTGTACAAAGTCATATTGGAGATGGTATATCACTCCAGTTAAACAACATCAGGTGGATAGTAAGACAACTAATCTTTCCTGGAAATGTGGCATGCACAAAGAGACATATTTTCATCCATGATGGGCATGCCCCAGTTGAAGATTTTTTGAAATAATAAATTAACTGAAATAAATATATAGGCAACATTGTAGGACTAAACATCACCCCGGATGCTAGGTTAGCATTACTAGTGGATGCCACAAAGTCGAATTTAGAAATGGAAAAGAAAGAATTGGTTATTATTTTACAGTTGCAAGAATTATAATCACAAGGAATTGGAAAATAGTAATTAATCTCACACTGAAATCATGCTATGGGGAGCGATGGAGCGTAGCTTTAAATGATAAACTATCAATGGAAATAAGGGTGTTCAGGGGAAACTAATAGGTTAGATTTTGATTTATACTGGTCGGTTTTTATTAAATATGTATTAGAAAGTGAAAAAGGAAAACAATACAATCTTGTTGGTCAGGAATTTTGGTTATGACATTTGGTTAATGGTTGTGTTGTAGTAGAGTCTGCTGGCAACGTTACAACTGATAGTAGGAGTAGTAGAGGAGGGAAACGAGGTGCCCAGGTGTTAGATGAGGAGCAGCAAAGGAAGAGAATTTGGGAGATATTTATGTCACCTGCAGACGAGGAATCCTTCGAAGGTTTCTCTGAGAGTAAAATGAGTGAGGAGGAGGAAGGAGATGGGAGTAGAGGTATTAAGAGGATTACTCGGGAGCAAGAGTCAGACAAGGAACGTCAGAGAAAGACGATCCAGGACATACTTACTGCTCCCACAGAGGAAGAGGATTTCATGGGCTTTACTGGAAGTAATGGGTCTGAGAGTAGTGAAGATGAAGAGGAACCAGTACACAACCCACGTCTAGCGATACTTTTGAGGGATTTTCTGGTGGAGATTGGCAATCTGGTGATAC